TAACAAGTCATTCCTAAGTGGAGTGTTGCCCATACAATGGAAACACGCAATAATTGTTCCCATACCGAAGCCCAATGATCCTGTTAATTACAGACCTATCAGTCTCGTGTCATGCACTTGCAAGATGCTTGAAAGGATCATCCTAAACCGACTGTTGCACAAAATAGGCAGCTTAGGAGAGGGGGTCAATGGATTTGTTAAAGGACGGAGCACAGCAAATTGTATAGTTAATTACTTGGCTAATGACACGGCTAGGTACTCTGTATTTGTTGACATCAAAGGAGCCTACGACAAAGCACATGGAATTGCGATCCTGGACGAGCTTGCATGCATGGGTGTCAAGGGGAGACTCATGAAATGGGTTGAAGACTACCTCACAGGGAGGAAAGCCAAGGTTTGCTTCAATGGAGCAGTCTCCAGAACAATGAATATGGAACTCGGGATCCCCCAAGGCGAAGTCTTAAGACCTACATTCAATGTACTTATGAACGCCATTGCAAATATTGATTTTCCGGAAGGAACACAACAAGTGGGATATGCAGATGATGTCCTAATACAAGCTCCCACCTTGGGAAAAATTGAACAGTCCATTGAACTCCTTGGAAGGAAATGCATTGAGCTCGGTTTCACTCTCTCCACAAACAAGACGAAGGAATACTCCCATCACAAGCGAATAGCAAATGAAGAACTGCAAATTAATGGTGTAACACTTGAATGGGTTGACCAATATCGGTACCTTGGCGTCACTGTCGGCTCTAACAAGGGGAAGAAAGAGGAGCTCAATCAACTCATAGGCACATGCAAAAGTCGACTCAGGGCACTGAAAGCTATGACCTGGAATGGACATGGAGCCACTATTGCCGTGCTTAAAATGATATACACAGCCTATGTGCACTCCGTCATAGACTATGCCGCACCAGTTCTGTGCACCTACTCCCAAAGCGATATGAAAAGGCTTGAAAGCATTCAAAATGAAGCCATGACAATCTTTCTTGGAGTTCCAAGAACTGCCAAAATGTCTAATCTACGAGAGGAGTTGTCCCTTCCCAGTGTTAAAAGCAGAATTAAGGAGCTGAATGCTAAGCTTGCAACAGGATAGCCAGAGATCCCCATTACAATGATATTGCTAAGAAAAAACTGAGCTCTGTGCTACTTTCAGGGGGAAACAGGAGAAGCAAAAAATGGCATCACAGATTAGTTTGCTACCTGGAAGAGCTTCACCTGCTTGAGCAAGCCCGTGAGCTGCTGCTTGTAGAGAGGTTACCTCCCTGGGAGGATGACTCATGCAAGATTATCATCAATGAAATGGCAATGAAAAAATCCAACACGTTACCACAAGAAATGAGGCACAAGTATCTCGAGGAAATTTATAAAGAAGCCGGAGATGAAATAGATCAAATCTACACTGACGGGTCATCTAATCCTATCAATGGCAGGGCTGGTGCAGCAAACACGGTAATCAAGGATAATACTTTCCAACGCAGAAATGAAGAAAAAGCACGTATTGAGAACTATGCCTCTTCAACGCAAGTAGAGCTAACCGCCATTGTTATGGCGTTAAGGTTTCTTGAACGGAACACTAATGGTGCAGTGATTTGCACCGATTCAAAAGCAGCACTGCAAAGCCTAAGTAAAAATCGGGCAGAAAATCTTGCAATAGTCGCTGAAATTAAGAGAGCTGTGAGAGTATTTACTAATTAGGGAAGAGTCATCAAGTTTCTGTGGATCCTCTCCCATGTTGGAATATCTGGGAATGAACGAGCAGATGTGCTGGCTGCTGAAGGCGCTGAAGGAGACCATATTGAATACTTCATACCCAAGACTCTACTACAAATTAGAGGTATTGTCAGGCAACATCACTGTGACAAGGTAACTGAAGAAAGGAGGATAGAAGCACAAACCAGAGAATCTGTACGATCGTACAATATGGTTGCAGCTGGCAATCCTAATTATTATGGCCGAAGAGGAGTAGGAGGACGAGGGAGAGAATCAGTAATAGCGAGAATCCGTCTGGGATACAAATATCCATGGAGATATGGAATGGAAACAACAGTTGATCAGCGAAGTTGCAGAATCTGTGGTGAGAGTGATGGACACCGCCTTGATCACTATCTACGTGAATGTGAACACCTGAGAGACATGAGAAGTATGTGTAGAATAATACACCCCACATTATTTGAGTTAGGAAAACACTATTTGTCAAATATTGATGCTGTTCTTAAAAGATTTCCCCATTTTGCACCCGCAAGATAACGTAAGCTTTCAAGGGTTGATAGATGTTAATCTTCTTGTTTGAGGAGCTGTTCACTTGAGACAGTTAAGCAAGTCCCAGCTGTGTCTGGGTACAATTGACAGGAAGAACAACCCAGCGGGTTTTCTTCCTACTGGGGAATGTTTTACATGCTGCTATGGCGGTATGTCCACTCACAAGATGAGTGGCGCTGCCCAATAAACTCGCCCCTTGGGGCAAAATTTATAGAAAACAATTTAGGTAGGGTAAGTAGGGTTGGCTTGGTTCGGGCATATATCTACGTTACTTTTAACTCCAATTAAAAAAAATTTGTTCATGCATAATGAAATGGATAACTTTATCATTGAATAAGAAAAAACATTAGAGAAAATATATAAATTTAGGAAACCTTGGCAAATTAGGCAAATCGGAATTTGCATAGTAGGCCGAGTACTGCATTCTGGCTACTAGGTACAACATATATATATATATATATATATATATATATATGTCGTACCTAGTAGCCAGAACTCACTTCTCAGCCTACTATTCAAGGCCCGATTTGCCTAATAAGCCAAGTTTTCCTGAATTAATATATTTACTATAATTTTTTTCTTATGAAATGATAAAGCAACCCTTTTCTCTATGTATGAGGTCAATTTTTTTTTATTGGAGTTAAAATTAACGTAGATATATGACCGAACCTAACCAACCCTACCTAACCTACCCTAACCTATATTTATAGGTTAGGTTAGGTTAGGTAGCCAAAAAAAGCTAGGTTAGGTTAGGTTAGGTAGGTTAGGTAGACGAAAAAACATTAATTCATGAAAACTTGGCTTATTAGGCAAATCGGGCCTTGAATAGTAGGCTGAGAAGTGCGTTCTGGCTATTAGGTACGACATATATATATATATATATATATATATATGTCGTACCTAATAGCCAGAACGCACTTCTCAGCCTACTATTCAAGGCCCGATTTGCCTAATAAGCCAAGTTTTCATGAATTAATGTTTTTTCGTCTACCTAACCTACCTAACCTAACCTAACCTAGCTTTTTTTGGCTACCTAACCTAACCTTACCTATAAATATAGGTTAGGTAGGGTTGGTTAGGTTCGGTCATATATCTACGTTAATTTTAACTCCAATAAAAAAAATTGACCTCAAACATAGAGAAAAAGGTTGCTTTATCATTTCATAAGAAAAAAATTATAGTAAATATATTAATTCAGGAAAACTTGGCTTATTAGGCAAATCGGGCCTTGAATAGTAGGCTGAGAAGTGAGTTCTGGCTACTAGGTACGACATATATATATATATATATATATATATATATATATATATATATATATATATATATATATATATATATATATATTTCATTGAATATGACCGCATATTCTGTATTTATTATTTTCTGGTTTAGGGCTTCTATCCCTCTAACTATTTTCTTAGCATCAGGGCTTAATTGAAATAGGAGTTCTCCAAAACTCATTTTCGTACTTTTAAGGTGAAGAAAAGAAGTGATATACTATAGAGTGTATTACACTTATTTCTATAATTTGCACGACGTTTCGAACCTCCATGGTTCATTCTCAAGTGAACAGTTATACCCGCATTATGTATCAAGTGATACATAATGCGGGTATAAAATCAACTAGTATTGTAAGATCTGTTCACTTGAGAATGAACCATGGAGGTTCGAAACGTCGTGCAAATTATACAAATAAGTGTAATACACTCTATAGTAAATCACTTCTTTTCTTCACCTTAAAAGTACGAAAATGAGTTTTGGAGAACTCCTATTTCAATTAAGCCCTGATGCTAAGAAAATAGTTAGAGGGATAGAAGCCCTAAACCAGAAAATAATAAATACAGAATATGCGGTCATATTCAATGAAACATGTTTGAAAGAAAACCTGCTGCCAGTATACACCAATATATATATATATATATATACATATATATATATATATATATATATATATATATATATATATATATATATATATATATATATATATATATCTCGTACCTAGTAGCCAGAATGCACTTCTCAGCCTACTATGCAAGGCCCGATTTGCCTAATAAGCCAAGTTTTCATGAATTAATTGTTTTTCGACTACCTAACCTAACCTAACTTTTTCGGCTACCTAACCTAACCTAACCTATAAAGATAGGTTAGGTTAGGTTAGGTAGGGTTGGTTAGGTTTGGTCATATATCTACGTTAATTTTAACTCCAATAAAAAAAAATTGACCTCATACATTGAGAAAAGGGTAATCTTGGGCATGGTATTTTATCAAATCACCTCATTCTTTGGGGCACACGTGAGGAATACAAATGTGAACAAGTCTGAACGGTCTCCAGGCATATATGCAACTGAAAACTCAGTTGTCTGGATTCGAGTCACATCTGGGGTGTGAGTGATCTGATCACTCATTAAGATCAAAGTGATTCTTATCTTAATAAATGTACACCGTGAAGCTATGTGTACCTTTTGGTGTACATATCTTTCTGATCTTAAGTAATGATGAAATTAAAATAATATAGTCCTCACTGTGTAGGTGAATACAGTTGTGCTTACACATGTAAGTATTAAGTCAAAAAACAAACTACAAAGCAAATTTGATTATATGACCATAAATTCCATATTTAGGAATTATTTTTATTTTTCGATCATGTATTATGTTAAGTACTATATATTTTTTTCAGTGAAATAGCTGGAAGGGATGAAAGTGTGATTAAAAGATTTGAAGGAGATACTCACATAATCTTCTCCGAGACCACTGAGACCTGGCAGCCAGTTCTTGAACCATATCACGGCAGGGGAGAGACAGCGAGGGTCGACGACCCGCACGTCTTGCTTACCAGTTACCAGCGTCACCAACATCCCCACAATGATCACAGTGAAGCAACCCGTCGCGGAATACCACATGTAAGACAGGCGGTATATGGCCAGCGCCTCGCCTGGCTCCTCACCCTCACTGTGGCCAAAACGTCAATAATCACTTTACTGATAATATGAAATGGAGCAATGAGGGGATTCAAACCCTTGACATGAGTATGCTCAAGTCATGTACCTTACCTCTCGACTATACCATAGTATAAGTTATACACCCTGGGATTCCACAGGACGTCTGTAGGCCTCTACTGAAACCAATCCAGGTTTTATAAATAACCTTGCACACCTTAAGTGCTCATTGACATAGCACATAAGATTTGGCATCCTATGTGCTTGGGAATACCCAGGTCGAGGATTTGAGTGCCATAAATTACTCTAATTGTTTTTCTCAATGATGTATCATGCTTTTGTGATTTTCTTGTGTAACTGTTTTACTCAACTACACTAAAGTGAAATTGTTTATCTGTGTCTGTTTATCTATTTGTCTGTTGGTTCAAAGTAGGAGGCCACATGTTTGTGGCAACCTCACCTAAATTGACAAGAGTGAATATGTAATGGTACAGAATGAGCATAGACTCATTGGGGTCGCCAGAATTCAAAAGGGAACAGCATGCCAGAGCCACATTCAGACACCGCACGACGATTTTTGGCACTGCCGCCCATCTACACTGATAAATATTTTCAAAACAAACTTTGCAAGACATTTCACCATAGTTTACTGATTTCGAAAAAAAAAAACTTCCTGCTGTCAATAATTGGCCCGCACTCGTGTAAAACAGAGGATTCTTACACAGCTTCAAAAGGTCTTTTACCGGTCTCTAACAATATTTGGATCTAAAATAATCTCTACCTCATTTCGGTCTTATATATTCCTTAAAATTATTTGGTCTAAAATGGTCTCTGTCATATTTGGGTCTAAATTAATTTCTGTTAAACTTCAGTAAATTTTGGTCGTCAAATGGTCTCTGTCATATGTTTGGTTGTAAATGGACTCTGAAGAAAATCGATCTTCAAATGGTCTCTGAATAATTTTTGGTGTTTAAACTGGTCTCTGTTCAATTTCGGTCTTTACAGATGAAACAGCTGTAAATGGATACACAAACTAAAAATCATGGCTAAGATGTCTATTTTACTTAGCAAAACTTCTATGACAATATTCTCTGAAAATGGTGTTTTTTCAAAATGTTGTCCTTACACTCGTAAATAAACTCCTATGATTATATGAACTCTGAAATATTTTCATAAAACTGATCTCTGGAAAACTTTGAATTTCTCTCATAAGAACTCTTAACAAACTTCTATGATCATATGAAAGCTGAAATATTTTCATAAAAACTGAACTCTGAATTTTTATTAATTTCTCCTATAAGAAATCTTACAGACGACAAACGCGAATTTCCCCCATAAGAAATCATTAAGACCATAAACACAAATTTTGCCTCGAATTTCCCCCATAAGAAACCTTTAAGACCTTAAATGTGATTTTTGACGCAAATTTCCCCCATAAGAAATCCATAAGACCTTAAATGTGATTTTGGCCTCAAATTTCCCCCATAAAAAATCCTAAAGACCTTAAACTTGATTTAAAAAAAAAACAATCACGTTTGCGCTGTCATCCCTACTACTACTCCCTGGTGATTAAGGTAGGCTGACCACTCCCGTGTCTTCCTGCTAGTGTGCCCACAGACACGAACACTTAAGCTTAACAAGGCCGGCCTGTCCACCACATGAGGATATACCTCAAAGGTCGCCAACCTGACTTACACTCACCTGCGGCTATATAATTTCTTCAAATGTAAAGGTATTTATTCTTGTCCAGTCCGGCACTCGGTCATTAATGAGTGGGCTCAGTAGTCCCCAAAACAACATAAAGAAAAATGAAAGGGAGGAGAAATAAACACTGCTTTAAAACTGCCATCTGATATTCTGTCAGATGGCAACTCTCCTCACATTAGCCAGTATTAATATGTCAACACTCCTGATCTTCTTGGAAGATCCGCCATGTCCAGATCTGCTCACTCTGGTCACCTATGTTCTAATCTCCTGATTTATCTTTGCACGTTTAGTTTATTGACCCATCACCTCACTTTACCGTTACTTCTTTCTTTCGCTTTTCTCATCATTTAATTTAGTTTTTTGTTAATTTAATTAACCTGACCTTCCAGTGGTATAAATCTGATGTTCCCTACGCTCTCCTCACTTGAGAATGAACCTTGTTGGGTTGAAACGTTGTGTAAATTATAATATGAATAATACAGTCTACATGTAATTTTGTATTATTTTAGTCAACCTCGAACACATGGCTTTGAGAGAAATCCTCTTCCAGTTAAATAAAGATGCAGGAGCACTAGTCAGAGGGATAGAGGCCCTAAACAAGAAAAAATCAATAATCAACACAAAATATGCAGTCATATTCAGTGAAACATATTTAAATGAAAACCCGCTGCCAATATTTATTTATTTTATTTTATTTATTTATTTATTTATTTATTTATATACAAGAAGGTACATTGGGTTTGTGAAAATACATAGCATAGTATTTACAATCTTGTAAAGCCACTAGTACACGCAGCGTTTTGGGTAGGTCCTTAATATAACAAATAATTTTAAGTAGGTAAATTCTAGCAGAATTAATAAAATGATAAATACATTGCAAGAAAAAAATGAGATGAAAGAGATTAGTAAGTATATTAAAGCACATTGGTATATTAAAGCTCTGATTGATTACATTGACAGCTTGATTGGTAATTTAAACATGATTAATAGACACCATACAGCAGATTGACAGCACATATAAGAAGACAGCAATGATCACAATGGTAAAGATGTTCGGATTGGGTACATAAAGATTGGGACATTGGGTAGCAATAGATACAGTGCAATTTTAAAGCAAAAGGTAAAAATCTATGAAGATGAAATTAGGTACTTTTTAGTATTGTTTTTGAATGACGCAAAAGTTAGACAGCTTTTCAATTCAATAGGGAGTGAGTTCCATAGACTGGGTCCCTTTATTTGCCTAAAGTGTTTACACAGATTAAGTTTGACTCTGGAGATATCAAAGAGATATTTATTTCTGGTGTGGTGATAATGGGTCCTATTACATCTGTCCAGGGAGAGTTTCAGAGCAGGATTTGCATTTAAGAACAAAGTTTTGTAAATGTAGTTGACAAGAGAATTTGTGGAGTGAGATTATATTTAGCATGTTTAGGGAGTTAAACACGGGGGCCGAGTGTTGTCTGAAAGCAGAATTTGTTATTATTCTGATAGCAGATTTTTGCTGGGTGATGATGGTCTTAAGGTGGTTTGCAGTGGTTGAACCCCAAGCACAGATACCATAATTAGGATAGGGATAGATTAGTGCATAATATAGAGAGATGAGAGCAGAGTTAGGTACATAATATCTGATTTTGGAGAGTATACCAGCTGTTTTAGAGACATTCTTAGTTATGTGTTGTATGTGGGTACTGAAGTTGAGTCTCTTGTCTAGGAATAGGCTGAGAAACTTTCCATCATTTTAATAGCTAATGTTTACATTGTCTATCTGAAGCTGAATTGCATTTGTAGATTTGCTTCCAAATAAGATGTAGTAGGTCTTTTTTATCTTAAGTAGGTCTTTTCTATGCTATGTTAATATATACAAATATATCTATACATTGTGGGATATCTGGGCTTGACTCAATTTATTTAATTATTAAATTAATGAAATCAATTACGTAGGACCACCCACTTTTAAGAAAAGAGGAAAACTAATAAAAAGTGATCATTAGAAACACAAGGAAAAACCAGTGTCTATGGATAAATATTAGAAAGCATAATCACTTAAATAATTAATGGGCTGTATGGTTAATTAACTAAATTCAGAGCCTCAAACACCTACATTGGGGGGGTATTGCTAGAACTTCATATACGTCTAGGAACTAGTGTGGTTCGTACACCAGTTCATTGTTTGATAAATAATATTGTGACCACAATATTAAAGAATCAATAGGAGATTACCACCAGAAATTATAAAGATTATTAGCATTAGAAAGTAATCATCTAAATAAACACATATTATCTCCAGTGTACATGACGAGTATTCAAGTAGATAGAATCATGAACAAATAGCAAAAATTGGAGTAATTAAATGTGTACAAAAAGTCTTAGCTTTAAGACGATTTCTATGACATCATTCACGCCTCGTCCTCGTGATCTCAGGAATTCCCCATAGAAGCCCTTAGAGGTGAATAACACGAATGTAGGTAACAGCTCGTTGACTCCTCACATACGAGCTGTAATTTTAGGGATATTACGTAGCATTGAACTAGGCTACTTAAATCTCAATATTCATGAAATATAAAATAAAAATTAGTGCGGTACTAACGTTGGATTTTTTGTAGTCGTTCGATATAACGACAGGCTGCCCACGACATATACAATCTCTAATGATGCATCAAAAAAGAACTATATACTTATCGAAAGGTGCAAATTATGCTGAAGCCTGCCGGTATCGCGTCTCAGGCTCAAACTTCCACAATGTCGTACACGTGGTTGATAGCTTGGCTTGAATATCGACGCGTTATTACTTGACCGAGCACTGCAGATCACGTAGAACAATAATAATTCATTCTGGGTTGAGTATCAGTGTAATTCTTGCTGATAATCTCAACGTCACGTGTCTCAGACTCTGACGCCACGACTTTTGTTGCTCAATTCTGCAACACGAGTACACCACACACACACACAATGGCGTCCCTCCTTCCTCTTCAACCCGCGTCACGCGTGAATGCCATGGAGAAAACTAAAATCTTCTCCATTTCTTGTTTACCACCATAAGACGAGAAAGTAATAATATTTAATTCCCTAGAATTACAACCCAGTCTTTATTAAAGTCTTTCAGCCACAATTGCGCGAAATAATAATATTCGTGATAAATAATTTCTGTGGTGAATACCACAGAAATTATTTATCTAATAAATCTAATATATTATATTATTATCTAATAAATATCTAATATATTTATTTAAATAATTTCTGTGGTGAATACCACAGAAATTATTTATCACGAATATTATTATTTCGCGCAATTG